CGAGCCCGCGCGAGCCCGAGGCCCTGGCGCGGGGGCGCGCGAAGGGCCGCCCCGGAGTACCCCAGCCTCACAGCCAAGGGCTCTTCGGGAGCTGGTGACCTTGGGATGGCTCCATCCCGCGCGGCCGCGCGAGCTGCATCCTCCAGGACAGGCCGCCAGGGTATCTGCGGCTCCAAGTCCCGGACTAGCACAGCCCTCCCTGCAGGGAGCTGGCCAGCTGCTGGAAACTTCCCTCTGCGCGCTGACCCTGGCCCCTCCTGCTGCCTCCAGGCCTCCGCTGGCCCCATTTCAGTTAAGCAAAGTGCTCGCTAGCTGTGGTCTGGGTGCACCAGGATCTGAAGGATTCCAGAAAATACCCCCTTCTCCCCTATTTCCCTCCCCTGGGGCCTACCAGACAGTTTTCTGAACAGAAAGTTGCCAGCTTCCGTCCTTCACCCTCTGGCCCTGGGACTGAGCTTGCCCAGCAGGAAGTACCAGGACGGGGGTAGGGGACACCTTTTTGAAACTCAGTCCTGTTCCTGTCCCAGAAGCACCCCAGGATTTGGGCTAACAAGAGTCCCAGGTGGGAGTGGTCGTTTGAACCCAAGGCCAGGAAGGCTTTACCCTTTCTCAGTCCAAGGCTTTGGGAGGCCAGCCAGATGTCCTCTCTGGGCACCCAGGAAGCATTTAGGATGTAACTTCCATTCCTAGCCAGAACAATGGCCTGAGGCCTTTTCCGGGCCACCTCCACAGTGCCACTGAAGACTAGAAAATCCATAGGCAGGAATGGGCCTGCCTATCTACAGCCGCGGTGGGTTTTCTTTGTCTGGTTACTTTCCCTGGTAGCATTGGAGAGCTACCCTGTGCATAGTCCTTACCAACACATAGCCCTGACTGCACATACATACTAAGAACGGAAAGACTAGCCAGATATCTGGATTCCAACAGTATCTCAACTGCACCCTACCTGCAGGAGCATAGATCCTTTCACCCCCTTGCCTCAGTTCCCTGTCTCTAAAGAGAGCATGGACCCCAACACAGCACAGCACAACTCAGTGCCTGACTGGAATACGTGCTGGCAGCCAACAGCAGCTTCAGCTGACAGGAGTCTAAGCCCTCGCTTAATTCCCAGTGACTCCTTACTTCCTTCCCCCTCTTCTCAATAATCCAGTGAGTCAGGCCCAGGGAGACAGGACCCATGGCATCTGCATCTCCCTCAGGGCCCTTCTGCCCCTCAGAAAGAATTATTCCAGAGAAGCCTGACAGGTTATGGGCTAGTCCAGGAGCTGCAGCGCTGCTCTGAACTGTGTGAGCAAGCTCCTCTCCCTCCTCTATGCTTGTTAGCTCACTCTGAGAGTCAGTACAAGCCGAGCTACAAGGGCCCTGGCCCATGAATGTCAGGATTTGAGGTCTGAGTTCTACCTGAGGGCTCTCTTTTTTCCACAGCAAGAGCAAGAATACAGAGTAGATAGAGGCCAAGGAAAGGTCCTCCAATTGCAGCTCTTTGCCCTCAGGAAGGCCTCTGAGCCTTAAGACCCTGCCTCATCAGAACTTTGCAGGTCCCCAAAGGCCAGCCACAGTGTCAACTCCAGGGAATCAATACTACCACTACTCAAGTAGCCTTCCCACCAGCCTACTACCCTGCACACCTAGCGGTATACGTCCCTGCTTATAGCCCAGGACAAAAATATATTTCTCTCACTAGAGAAGACTACAGGTCTCACTGGGAAGAGGCTAAGATACCAAGAGGACAGAAAAAGAAATGTGTGTTTCTCCCTGCCCCAGCCCCTTTCTCTGGACAGTACTCAGATTCTGTACCATCTCCAGAGATTTTCTAAGATCACACCTGTGATGCAGACATGGCTCTGGCTATTTCCCTTCATGCCCACCCTTCAGGTCAGGAGCCATGAGTCCTGGCTTTCACTACACCCTCTCTCAAGGTTAGGAGTGGCAAAGGGACAGTCTCACACCACAGACAACAGAGCAGACACAGAAGGCCACCACAGACTAACAAATATCATCAGCATGCACACATTCCAAGAAAACCCTGTGTGCTGGGCCAGCATTCCATCACTGGCCTGTCCACGTTGTTAGCCATGTGGACACTCTTTAGAACAGGACACTGAGCTCTCAGCTATTATACCTGCCTGATGGTTTCTGGGAAGACTTCAGAGAACAGAACCCTGAGGCAGGATGAGGGGAGCTAGGCTGGCAGCCTGGCAGTTTCCAGACACTCTGTCAGGTCCATGGGGTGCCAGGCTGACCACTGCTGGCCACCACCTGGGAGACTGCCAGCCTGAGAACCAGAGCTTCCCAGAACCTTTACTGTGGCACCAATTAGCTTAGTCTCCCCAGGGCAGGGGAGGAGTGGCTGCTGCCTTACCCAGCTGAGGGTCACCAGGGCCAGACTCTCCAGTTCCAGGCTGTGGGAAGCAAAGAAGGTACCTGTGTAGGCCCAAAGAACCAGCCAGCCAGCCAGGCTTGGCATGGAAAGAGGGCAGAACTAGCCTCTGTAAGTTGCCCAGACTGCCATATGGGCCCGCCTCTGCCTGCCTACCTCTCCAGTCAAGTGCCACGTGTGTTAGGAGTATCGTGGGCACCCCACGTGCAGCCCAGGGACAAGTCCTCTCCTCACCTCCCTCCCCAGCTTCCGTTCTGCTCTGAGGCACCTGTGTGTTTCATCTTCTATTCTCTGCCACAGCCTCAGGTCAGCTTTGTAGATGCTAAAAGGAAGCTGTGCGGGTGCAGCTGACCACACAGCAAGATGGCAGCGGGGCCTAGATTCCAGCTTTTCTCTACTGCTGCCCCCAACTGTCCCCATCTGAACCCCGGATGAAAGTAGATCTGATGAGGCCCTTTCAGCAACCCAGAATCCAGATGGGCCCCATCTGAGAAGCCATGGAGCTACCCCCCAAGCCCTGAACCATACCTGGCATTTCAGCACAAGTATGGAGATTGTCCTAGTTGGTGGACTCTTGCACTTTTAACACCCTACCTGTAGAAGGTGGGGGAAGACCCCTAAACTCCCTTCCCTAAAATTTTGGTTCCTAACATCTGGAAGTTCTTCCCCAAACCTGACTGAAAGCCACCCTGCGGCACGAATCTCTACTCTCAATTGCAGCACACACAGGCATCCTTTTCTCGCTCGCTTGCTGATCCCACAGTGGAAAATGTTGCCACTTGTCCTCTGAGCCTCAGAACGTGATCTGGGTCATCCAGCCAGGTCCCTATCCTGGACCAGGACTAAGGAATCTGGGCTGGTCATATCTGCCCCCGTGTCTTGGAAACAGATCCAGAACTAGGGAAGGACCTGGGCCAGTGACACCTTTCTGAACAGAGAATCGCAAGGGATCGTAACAAGTAGCCCCTCCTGTGTAGGTGGAGACCTATAACGCTCAGACAGGCCCTAGGATGGATCTGGACACTGCCCACCTCCTATAATGCTCAGACAGGCCCCAGGATGGATCTGGACGCTGCCCACCTCCTATAACGCTCAGACAGGCCCTAGGATGGATCTGGACACTGCCCACCTCCTATAATGCTCAGACAGGCCCCAGGATGGATCTGGACACTGCCCACCTCCTATAACGCTCAGACAGGCCCCAGGATGGATCTGGACGCTGCCTACCTCTCTCTACGCCACTAATGACTTTTCTCCATCATGAGAATCCTATTTGGCTCCTGCCATGATGCCCAGTGATATACAAGTCACCACACATGGCCCTCAAGGCAATTCTCTGTCCCATCACCCCACTTCTACTGACCCTCTGGCCTGATTCAACTTCCTCTATCCTAGCTACAGGTCCTGACAGGTTGCTGCCATCCCCTGCCTAGCAGGCATATTTGTAGGGTAGAGTATCCAGTACAGACCCCCGCAAGTAAGGCAGAAAGGAAGGATAAAGGCCCAGTGAGGCTCTGTGGATACCACCCACCTACTCTGTCCATGGGAAATGTGTCCATTCCCCAGCTCCGTGCCTGCACCTGCTCTTCACCTGTCCTAGCAGCCTCTGTCAGGGTCATTGCCTCCTGGTGGCCTGGCCCTCCAAGGGAACCTGCTGGGATCTACCACCACCACCTGACTTCTGCATCCTAGCTTAGCCTCAGCTCTGCTTGCTACATGAAATCCTACACCATTCACCCTCTGCCCAGAGAACTCCCCAGCCTCAGTCCTCACATAAATCCAAGGCCATATTGCTCCCCACAGTACTACATGACCACTGGGGACTGGCCCCTGTCTTCCAGACCACAGTCACACCAGCCAAGAACCTTAGTCCTGTGTAGCTGTCCTTAAACCTGGGAACAGCCACAACTCCCACTGTAGCCCCCAAGTCAGTGTAACCTCTACTTCATTTCACCCTCAGCTCCAAAAGCAGAGTCACAACCCTATCCTCAGGTCCCAGGGACAGTGGTACAAGAAAGACATTCATTATCAGTTGACTGTCCAGCATCTCCCTAAGGCACCTCTAGTAGTGTCCAAAAGAGGTGGACCCAACAAATTAGGAAGACCCTGAAAGGAAAACCCTGCAGCTAGCCACACACTCAGCTTCTGGTCCTGTTTTTCTAGTACCTGCCAGCTCAGGAGAAGTGAACAGAGATTCCTGATCCTATCCAACTCGGAGCTCAGCTACCTGCTAGGCAGTGGGTATGAAGTAACCCATACTTGTTCAGAGAACGATAGATTCTTCAGGGCCTATGTGTTCGAGGAACACGAGGGGACAGTATTCAGAGAGTGCATGGAGTCCACCACCCACCCACTGAGCAAGGGCCCTACTGCATCGTGATGCCTCCCGCCAGCCCACGAGCAGGTGCTATTATAGGACTGTGCCTGTCGGGGTCCCCTTGGATCTGATGGGCTAATTCACACCCCAGTATGAATGACTCATAGGGTGTCCACCCACAGGGTATAAAACAGCCAGGAGTGGGCACAGTGCACTCCAGTGGAGGATCCTAGGCTCTGGGCAGGGGTGGGACTGAAGCCTCTGCAGTTGGGGGTTCTCAACTGGGCCTTTGAGAACCCTTGTGAGCCAGCTTCCATCTGCACCCCAGAAATCAACTCCCCTGATTCATCTCCATTCCAGGTCCCAGCCTGTTTAGTCACGCCTCCTCTATCAGGTGTGCCCATTTCCCAGAACCGACTTCTCAGTCCGCATCAAGATGGCTGCTGCTGCCTCCACAAGGTCTTCTCAGACGCGCAAGCTCTTAGTCTTTTCTTCCCGTGAGGGCCTGACCACTACGCCCAGCCTCGGGGCCATTCCACCCTGCTTCGGAGTTGGCACCCCTCCTGTGCTGTTTCTGAGACTCTAGTCCTGGCCTGGCTTTCTGAGATCCAATCGCCTGGAGTCTGGTGCCCTTGACTATGGAGATGCAGCCATCTGAGCCCTTCTGTGCACCTCAGATCTGTGCACGGCCTTTGGGGCTTCTCCTTTTCCCCCCTGCCCCAGACACCAGTCTCTTCTTCTCTCTTACCTGGCGCCAGACACTGCACTGGGGCTTCTGGTCTCAGATTGTCCCCCTCTATGCCTACTGGCTCCTCTCGGGTTACCCAGGCAGGGCACATGGGACAGAGCGGGGAACCCGAGAACAGTGGACAGTGGCTCCACAGCCTGGCAAAACGAACCTGCCCTGGAGAACAGGGTCCTGCTGACTGCACCTGGCTCAGAAAGGTGTTTGATGCCCACCCTGAGCCCCTGTCTCTCTCCTAGCTTCCTGTCTATGGTTCCTACAGACACATCCACTGGCCTGTCACCCTCCTGCCACTCAAGACACTACTGTCCAGATGCCACAATCCTCAAACCCTATCGTTTTGATGAAAGCTGAGCTAGACCCTTGCTGGGCACTGGGCACTGGGCACTCCTGGTATTCCCCTAGGTCCAGATGATCCACACCCCAAGACCACCCTAGCCAACCTAGCTTCATCTACAAGACATCCTTCAGACTTCCATGTGTAAGCCTTCCTCTCCTACTTATCCTATCACTTCCATATGGTCACTGTGGCTTAACTCCTGACTGATGCCATAAAGAAGGGAGCTAATGCCCATAGGGGGCCTGCAAATCTTTCCAGAGCCAGCTCCATCCCACAATACCAATGCCCACCACCAAGACATTGAACAAAACAAGGCCAATAGCATCTGCAGTCAGGAAGTGTTTACCACCAGCGACATCCCCACCCCAGCATACTCCACTGGCTCCACCACCTTGACCACTGCTTCCATGTTACCAAAACCACCTCTATGGCTACCACTAGATCACCACTACCGTGTCCTCACCACCATCCCCATCACTGCTACCTCCATAGCCCCTGTCATATCACCACACAACCACGGCCACCATGATCACCATTGCATCAGCACCACCTCCACAATCACTACTGCATTACCAACCCTCACCCCGGCATGGTCACCACATCTCTGATCCCACCTCCATACCCACCACCTCATCACCAACGCTGTCCCACCTCCAGAACCATTGTCACGTCATGACACCACCTCCACGGTCACTGCCGACACTCCGTTCATGGCCACTACCGTGTTCTGAGACATGCCTCCCTCTGTGGCCCCCATTGTGTAACAACTGTCACCTCCGTGGCCAGCCCCACATTGCCAGCATGCTTCTTACATCAAGACCGTCACCTCTGCCATCATCAGCATCACATCATCAGGACCACCAATCACCCTATCACCACCAATGCCATCGCCAACAGAAGCATCGCTGCCGTTATTACCACCGTTGTGTTATTGACACACCCCTGCCCAGCACCATCACTCCCATCCACAACAACTATCATGATTGATGGCTCATACTCACCAGCAGCGGCAGAGCAGCACAGACCACAGAGCCATGACCCCCACCACCCTGTCACCAGAGCCTCTCACACCACCCCATTCTCCACTGCTCCTACTCAGTGCACTAGCTCCAGCAACTACTATTCAGTCCCTGTCAACATAGACATTACCCAGCCTTCCTCCTCCCTCATCACCGCATCCTCAGCATCACCTACACCAGCACAGACATCATCATCATATCCACAAGTGTGGTCCACAGCATGCATCACCAATGCTGGGACCATCTGCACCAGCCAAAGCTCTACACCATGGTAGCACTGCCTTGTCCAGTGTGCTCTCCTTCACAGGCACCGGTGAACCACTGATTGCTGTGAGCATGTATGTTACTGCCCTGCTGGCAACATCAGCCTGTCTTGAGGATGGATATCGTCTTCAAAATTCAACAGTCTTTTTGATGGACCCAGCACAGTGCTGGTGCATGATTCTCCCTCTGGAGCCTCAGTGTGCTCCCTGATAGGCCAGGGCAGTAATAACAGACAGACAGACAACCCTCATGATTGCCTTTGCCACTACCACACTCCTTGTTGCACATTGCTGTTCACCTGATCCATCATTCCGACACTTCCGGGCAAGGACCAAGA